AAATCTAATCCAAACTAAAGACCAACTTACCTTTGAAGGCATTTATGTAGTGGATATCAAGTCCCAGTTTGTCCCTTCCAGCAGAAACATGACAGACTGCATCCTCCCGTGGAGGAATGCGTCTCCTTCGCATGTTCTCCTGTACGTTTTGATTGGCTGTATTACCAAAGCATATAAAGTATTACGATTATTGTCTTCATTGTCATCATCATCAGTAGTAGCAGAACTAGCAGTAGTGTAGTTTATAGCATAAACACAGCTGACTTATTCATAGTCCTAATTTATGCCTTCTTTTAAAATGTTAAAGGCCTAGTACTCAAAATGGCGACATGTGACATTTCTGTAATGGCGACTGCAGAGAGTGATACAAGTACTGAGAAAGCTTAGGCATCAAAACTGTAAGAAGTTTTTTCTTCAGGCATATAAATAAATACATGACTAAATACACTTATACCCCTTGCTTCTATTTTAGGGCTGTCAGCAGAATGGACAGACATTGGACAAACTGCCCGAAATTAGCTGACAGCGACATCAGGGATTTTGACTCAGACTGCGCTGGTTTAATTGTTAATCGCGTTAGTCGCGTTTAAGCCACAATAATGCTTTAACACCGAGTAAATCCTAACACGAGTTAGCCCGCTTTATCGCGTTGACGCGGTTAGTCGTCAGCCCTATTTTATTTACTCAATGACAAACGCTGGGGCCGTTTTACTTCTTCAAAGACTAACTAACAGTCCATAAAGCATAAATTAAACCAGTTTAATATAGGCCTGTGCACCTATAATTTCATATAGTATTAAATAGTGACAGGGGCTTCACTAGGTTTTAAGGACAGGGGGGGCTTAGCCCCCAAGAGATGCACACGATATGAACGAACGTAGTGAATGAGCACAAAATTTCACGAAGAGAAAACAAGACTGAGAAATTGTTTTCCTACTTTTTTTGGACAGATTAAACATCCTAGGCCACCAATAGATCTATACCAATTGTCTGTTTTATAATACAGTACAACAAGAAAACAGAAGAAATGTGTTTGCTGCATCAATAACAAGAAAAAAACTGAAAATAAAAAAGTACATCATTTTTATGGCTGCAATCACCAGTTACTTGGTGGGTGGAAGCATCAAAGAATGACGTCTGTTTTTAAGAGTGGCAAATCGGTCAATCGGTCAATCACTCTGTGTGGAGCTAACTAATTGTTACTACCAGCCAGTGATGAAGACTTACTTTCTTGAAAAACTTGCGTATATCCATGATTTCTTGCTGTTTGCCGCATGTACGCTAGTGTGTCCGCAGGTGTATACGAGCGGAGTGTAAAGTAGCAGTGAAAACGAGGACTGGATTTTCAGTAATGTGGATGTCCCCTGTGAACAACTGGAACGGATTGGATAACGAAGCACTGACGCTACCTTAACAGTGTAAAGTGAAAGGGACCAACCGAGTTATGATCATATTTATGTGAATAGCGACAGGTTTATATTATTATTTCTTTAAACTCATATTCCTGCATCTTTATATTGAATTTGTCTGCAAGTTCTGTAAAAAAGAATCGAATAAGTTAAAAAAAAAAAAAAAAAAAAAACCCCACAAATTATTTAGGGGGGCTTAAGAATATTTTAGGGAGGCTTCAGCACCCCTAAAATAGGCCTAACGACGCCACTGAATAGTGATGTGACGTTCTGTATCGAGGCTTCGAAGCTTGTGTCGAGTAATGAGGGGGCGTTTCCGCGATGCGCGTATCGAGGCTTGCTTCATTTATGGGAGGAGCTGAAAATGATGACGTCCGAAGCCTCGCTGCCCGGCTGTACCACGTGACTGGTTCATGAAGTGGTTCGAACTTTGCCGCGAGATATGACAGCGATATAAACCCCTCAGACTTCATTCAAAATGTGGGTGTTTGATGGAGAGTTGCGGTTAGTGAGAGTTTGGAGACAGTTTGGAGGTTTATGAGAGTGAGGAGAGAAACATTTTTGATCTTATTCCTCCCAACAAGGTATGTAAATTTCTACAGAAGATGTATTTTCATAATACTGATGGTGCAATAGGACAAAGGATTCAAAAGATTTGTTAAATCATTAAATCCTAGCTATGTTCTCCCCACTAAAAAGGTCATAAAAGCAGTGAAAATTTAGTTTTTACAGAATAAAATGTGAACAGGCAGGACTGAGGCTCAAAGCCTCAGTGTGTAGCTGTCCATACCTCAACGTTACAAAAGCACAACTACTGTCCACACCCCAACCACACCTCACCTCACAGTAAATGATCATTTCCATTTTAAGCATTTCCAAATAATCATTTTCCATACTGCCAGTATAAATATACACAGTATACTGCCATCACTACAATATACATGTTTTACACACTCCTTTTGTTGTTGACATTTACAGGCTGTGTGCAAAAGGCCACACTCTTCAAATTCATGCCAACTAATATTTTTACGTCCAGTAGGTGTCCTACTAGAGCAAATGAAGCTTCAAGAAGCTTTGCGCTGGGGTGACAATTGAGAACCAATTGGATGAAAAGCTTCAGTGCTTCATGAAGCTTCATCTGCCCATCACTAGTATTAAAGTCATGGTGCATTTTACATTAAAAAAGGCTTACCTTTGTGTTTTTAATCCGTCTTCGTATTGCCGTCGACATATACTTGTTAAAGGGCACGCGCGAAGTCGTGGCGCTGTTTCCTGTAGGTACCGCCTATATATATAGCCTACCAATCACAATGACTTCCGGCCGTGTGTATTGAAAATGTGTATTAAATTGCAGTACTTACACACATCCACTCTAACTCGAAACGTCGCTGTGCAATACATTGGAATACACAAAAATCAGGTGAGGGGTATAGGTGGACTTTTAAGAAAATCAGAAAATCTTTTAATTAGAGTTTAATAAATGAATTTACACTACAGTTTAAGCAAATACACGTCAAAAGATAAATAGTGACCTCATAAGAAGTAGAAAAAATTATTATTTAGACACTTAAAAATGCATTTACAAGTCATGTTTTAGGGGGACACATGAATACACAGCAAAAAGTCGAAATGTCCCCAGAGCCCAGGTACAGTGCCAGGTCAAATGTCAATCCATACCACATAGACGCACTCACACACACTGGTGACTGTCTCCATCTAGTGGTGAAGAATGTAATGCTGGTGTAGAAAATTTTAATAGTCTGTTTTTCACTTCTGTACAACGATTATTACTGTCACAAAAACCTACAAGTTAATTATATTTCAGTATGACATAATATTAATTTATTTCTAAGCCAAAATCATGCAACAGCCCAGATCAGGCTCCATAATATTTTCTACTTCATTTTGTTGTTAGGATCATCAACACATGCATCACAGACTGTGAGAAGAATTCAGGTTTCAGTCAGATGTGAGAAAAGCCAACAATCCATGAGATTAATAAGTACAGTGATGAGTTTAATGTTAAGTGGAAGCGAGTTGACAAATGTACAAATGAATCCCAAATGAATCCCCCTCTATTGTAGACTGAATTCATTATAACCCCATAGAACAGGATCTGTAATATGTATCAGTTTAAATGCAGAATGAAATTTTTGCATCCATTTTTCTTTCTCGTGAAAGGTTTTTACCCCTCAGCTGTAAAAGGCTGACGGGGTTTTGTCGTCACGCGGCCATGCAGGTGGATGGGGTGGCTGGTAGCGTGGACACCCAGGTTTCTGAACATGATAACTTGAAAATGATGCTGCATCCGATTTCCAAACTGATATCATAGGTGCATGTACGAAACGTTTCTGACGAGTTTGAAACCTAGTGACCTTGAAGTAAAAGTCAAGCACAAAGTTTTCAGAAAATTATGTAAACACGATAACTTGAGAATGAGTATTTTTAAATTCATGACATAGGTGCAGCTACTAAAAATCAGGAATTAGTTCAAATCCCAGTGACATTGAACTTAACATCTAACTGTCAAAGAAGGTGGTGAAAGCTTACTGATTTGGGCTTGTTTTTTTTCGGTTATTGAGTCATCTATACACCCCTCAAGGCCAGGTTGTATAAGGGTAAAGTTGCCCACAAGTAATACATCATACAGGAAGTATGTCTCAACTTGATCCTTAAACTTCATCCTTGAAATGTACTTTTTCCTTGAAATTCTGGACATGTGAAAGCATGCAGGTGTAAAACACGTCATTTGCTTTGCTTTTCATTTATATTCATGCTGATGCAATGTTCTTATTTAAATTCAGTCTATGGTTCTTGCACAAGTCTTTTAAGTCACAACTCATCTGCATCTCATATCACTGAACTGCAGGTTTGTTGTGCTGGTGTGGTGACTGGTTCCTGTGGGAAAGTCTGTGAAAGTCAAATGAAGTGACATATAACTTTCATAAACATAAATATCAACACTAAAATCTTCCAAAACAACTTTTCATTTCTGGTTATAGTATTGCATTAACAGTTTAGAGAAACAGCAAATCAATCAAAGTAAAACATAAAATATAGCCACTGTAGTAATTAAACATTTGTATCTAAATCCACTCAAAATAATTAAGAATGCAAGCTAAAGGTTTGCAAACATCATCATAGCTTTCCTGCTCCTGATGTCAGATCTTCTCGGCAGTCCTCTTTTAGAGTAAATCGCTGTCCTCCACACACGTATCTGCCGCTGGAAAACAAGATTGGTGAACCTGATATTATGAAATTATTTATGTTTTTTCTCTGAAAACAGGTGCTGTAAAACCTAAAAAAGTCCCTCATCCTGGCCTCAAGGATTATCCACCACTTGTTAATATCAGATAGGATATTAGTGAATTCTAAACAGATCTGTAGCTCATTTTAGATTAGACGCTGAATTAATCAAAACATAAAACAAGCCATGAAATTTTGCTTCTTCTACTTACAGAAAACTTCTTTATTTAGCATATGGATAAAATAAAACATAACCATATATGGGTCACTTATGACATGGTGTAAATATGTTATTTAGGATCCGTACCTTCCTTTTGTTGCTTTTAACAGCTGATGTGCCTCCAACGCAGACTAACAACACCAGAGACCTGACTTTGAAGAGAGGCCTCCAGCTTAATACACAACATATAAAAAAAGAAAATGGTGTCATTTGTTGCTTGAGTTGCTGAGAGCTGATAAGAAAATGGAGTAGAGGTGTTTAAAAGCAGAGCAAACACATCTGTTTCCTGTACCTGCTGCAGCCCTTGATCCCTGATGTTTGGATCTGTCAGATCAGGACTGCTTTTCATTCTCAGCCTCACTACAGTCCTCTTCTGCACATCTGGAAATGGCAAATGAAATAATAATAATTATTTTCATCTTTAAAAAAATTCTTCAGTTTTGTATCAAACAGAAATGAACTGTATTGATGGACTTGATAAGGATAAGACTTATATAAGACCAGAAGCTGCTTCTGGCCTGCTACCGCTCCTCAGTGGAGAGTGTACTCTCCTGCTGCCCAGGTGTTTGGGAAGCAGGCGCCACAACTGAGAACAGGAAAGCTACGCAGAGGGTATTAACACTGCCCAATAAAATCATTGGCTGCCTTCTGCCACCCCTGGAAGCGATGACGATAAAGGCTACTCTGTTCTAATTTCTTTCATTCTATCAAGCTATGTAGATTACAACAGATTGTACCTTTCATAGAAAGTCTGATGTCAGTTGGTGGAGTTGTAATAAGAGGAGTAGAAATGGTAGTATCTGTTCTAGTTGTAGCAACAGGAGTAGCAATGGTGGTATCTGTTGGAGTTTTAGTTGTAGCAACAGGAGTAGCAATGGTAGTATCTGTTGGAGTTGTAGTTGTAGCAACAGGAGTAGCAA